GGAGTCAGGAAAAAAGCTACTGGCAGGAATAGCTCTGTGTAAGGCTCTCAAAATGTGGTAACTAAACATTATTATAAATTTATTTCATCTTGACACCAAAGCCAGCTCTACAGCTGTTTTATGATACTGTGAAGGTTAAACTACTGTGGAACAAGTACTCCTGCATGTGGCTACTATAAAAGTGTCACTGAATTATTTCTAATTTTAGTGCCGGTTGTTCTAAAAATTGCTTTCTGCTGCACTCCAAGAAGCAAGAAAAAAGGTGATTCACATAAACCTAGGCAGCTGAGGACTTAGATGGACATAACTGATGGAGCAGAGCAGCTACAGGGTTCATATTGGATTAAGGTAGAGGAGAGATTCTCAGGGGGTTTAAGTTGCCGTGGACCCCAATATGTCAGTCTTGTAACTGATTTAATGATGCTGCCCCAGTTTCTGGCAAACGAAGAGAAACAGGTACTTTCAGGGCAGAATGAGATTCCCTTAGTTCAGTCACCCAGCTTAAGATGATGAGTTGAATCACACCTGAGAATAACCATTTGTCCGCACCAACTAAATAATTTGTTTGGGCAACTAGAAATTTTATTCACTTTTTTTTTTTTTTTTTTCCAGGTGAGTATTATTCAAGTGTCCAATAAAAGGTAAATTGGCAGAACACTACTCCAGCTACAAATAGCTACACCTCCACCTCACGGGACTCAAATATTACCAAAAAAGGAGGGGAAGAAAACAAGCTTAAACAGTAGATATTACACCTTGACAATATGCTTGGCAGAAATTAGTGTTCTCAAAAGCCATTTCCTTTACAGGTATTTCCAAATACCATTTAAAAAAAAACCAAAAAAGAACAAAAAAAACCCAACACATCTGTGAGGTGAATCTATTTAAGACAAAAAAAAAAAAAAAAACCAAAAACCAACAACAACAAAAAAAAAAAAACATGACACAAAGCCATGTAAGCTGAAGGGAAGATGTAAATCACTGGTCTCTGTTAGTGAGATGATCACCAGCCCTCACAACATCACAGGATAGTTCAGGTTGGAAAAGACTCTGAGGCCATTAAGTCCAACTGTGTCCAACCCAGCAGCACCTCTCTCACCCTGGACTCCCACAAACACTGTAGCAACTGAATAATTTTATTCTCAGAAATTGCTAGATACCATAAATACCCTTAAAATGGACATGATGCAAATTCTAAATCACAGGTTTTCAGTTTTTAGTTAAAGAAAAGAACCAAAACCAAACCAGTAAACAAAGAATTCATGCCTTCATTGTTACCAAGCACAGACTTTGTCACCCCATTTATCTTATGGGAATGCTATTACTGTTGATATGGGCAATTAACTGTATTTCAAAAATACATTTTTCAAAAATTATCTCCATTTTCCATCATCAGTTTTGAGCAGAAAATTACTCACAGGGAGAAATAATTTACCCCTGAGTTGGGGTAAACTGTTACAGCTAAACAGAAATAGAAAATCATACACCAATTTATACAGGCTGAAAGAACGGTCATTAATTCATGCCTAGAGGATTGGAAGCTTCCAGTGTGTCCTCCAGGTCAATAAAGCAAATTGTGAGATCAGGTCTAAGAATTTTTTATACTTGAAAGTGGCAGATGTGTGGTCTCTCAGCATGAAAATTATTGTGTGAACAACACTGCAAGTCCAATCCCAGAAGTTAAGCATACCTCATCCCCGAATGCTTACTACTGATATCTAAATATATTCTGTTTATTTGCTATTAGTTTTTCATAAACAACTTTCACAGTTGTAAAAAAATTTTTCTGTTGTAAAACTTTAACTGTTATTTTTAAAGAGTTCTAAAGAATGCAACTACCTTGCTTAGAGATGCAACTCTTCTTGTACAAGAATGCAAGTATGATGCCTAAGTATGGTGCTAGGATGCTCTGATTACTCCATTATTCAATAGTTAGTAGCACCAATAGGTAGATTGCTTCTGTGCAGAAGGGCATTATTCAGTAGATTACCAAGAAAGGTGTGTTTCAGGTTGCTCTTTCTCAATTCAAATGTGCATTTGATTTGAATGCATACTTTACTCGGTGTTGCTACCTGAATCTCTGACCAATCAGCATCCCACCCAATGTATTTGTGTGTGCACTGAAACTCCTGGATGCTGCCAAAGCATTAAGCAGCCTACAGAAAAGGGTGGGGAGGGAGGAATGTGCTTCTACTTCCTCTTCTTGGGTAGAGCAGACAGTAAGAATGACCTCCTTAGTCCAAAGGTTAGTCCAAAACCAGGTTTAATCCACCTATCCTTCCAGTCTGGTCATATCTTTGCAATTCATTTTAAAAGGGAGTGAAAAAATTAAATGTTATTATCCAAAGACCAAGATTTCAGTGATAAGCAACAGAAATATTGTCTGGGACTTTAATAGTAAGAGCTAAGAGCATGCTCTGCAACGGCTGGGCAACATTTTACTAAGTTTGGCAGAAAAGTCTCCTCCCTTCATCCCCTAAGGCTTCTGCTTAGCTTAGACAATATCACAGGGAAGGGCTGTTTGCCCAGAGGTTTTCATTGCGAATTTGTTGGGGATTTTTGTTTGTTTGTTTGTTCATCCACATGGTTTACTGCCAGATTATGAAAACTACAAGCCTGTCATCAGGAGTTCACCCAGTCTGAGAGAGGAAAAACAGTGGTTAGAAGTCAACCTGATACATACCATACCTTAAAAAATGTCACAGAATAAAACACACGTAGAAGAGACATTTCAGTAATGTTGTGACACTCCCCAATTTCAGCAATGGATTACAATGAAACATTGGTTTGTGCAAGCAATCAGGAGAGGTTTGTCTTGACATGGACAACCCAGAACAAGACACTGAGATCTTGTCTTTGTGTAAGCATAACCTCCCCCACAGGTTTGCATGATTAACAACATTCTTAAAAAAACAAAACTCTTTCCTTCATCAAACAAGTTTCTTCCAAACTTTTTCAGGGCACATTGCACTCAGACATAGGAAAAAAAAATTGAATCATGTTGAGCTGTACTAAGAAGAGCAAAGAGGATTCCCTCAAAACAAGAAATTCAACTTTGTACAGCTAGTATTCCTCCTGAAGCCAGTGGACAACTTGGATAGAGCCAGCTGAGAGGATCAGACTTTTCAGCTGCAGATAGGCAGGAGAGAAAAAACTCTGGGTCAAATCCCAGCTAGGGTAAACCAGTGTAACTCCATGGAAGTTAAGAGGGCTGTGCCAATTCAAGCCAGCTGTGGATCTCAGTGTGTTTTGCAAGTCCATTTTCAACTCTTCAGGGCTCTGCTCTGTTTAAATATCCACAACACCCACTGAAATTAATGAGAACTGTGTGTGCAGAACACTAGTATTACTTTTTAACTATTTGGGAGGTGCTCAGACACTGTGATAATGAGCACCATATATTAGAACCCAGACAGAATGGTATTGAATCATCAGACCCTTAAGTGGGACAGGTCATTAATCTTTTTTTTTGGGAGAGCATTTCAATTTTTGCCTTGGCAAATGAGGATTCATCATTAATAGATGTGGGGGTTCTACGTTTGCCAAGTCCCAAAGTGTGTTTTTCCATTTGCCTTGGGCTTGTGTAAGCTTGCCTAAGGAGGCCAGCCTTGCAGTTTGAGAAACACTGCTAGCAGCCACCATACCCTTATTCCCAGCTAAATTAAACCCTATTATGCTGTAATTAACCTTGCCTAACTTGTTCTGAGCTACAGCAGCAGGTAAAAATCACGCTTTTACTAGGCTGTACCCAATAAGCATTTTTGCGTATCAGACTTGCCTACTCTTCAAGTATTTCCAGCTACTCTTGGAAGCTCTTCTCCTGAAGATCACAGCTGAACTGCAGACATCAGAATTCTTCTTGACTTCAGTGAGGGCAGAATGCACCTCATGTTCAGGCCAGATGGCACATTTTTGGCGGACATGGGAATTCCACAGAAGCGACAGCGAGAATACGTATATACAAATTGTTAGGTTTAAAGGTTTAAAACATACACATAGGCAGGACACTAAGTTTGCTTGGTCAAATTTAAAGCAGTAAAATTCCATTTTATGGATTAGTCTATTGCCCTTTTTATTTAAATCCAAGTTAAGAAAAATAAAAAGAAACCTATTACATTTCTAGTTTCAATTTGATACTTGGGATATGGATGAGAAGAATGAGCACAAGGTAAAAAGAACCTCTAATTTATACAGCTACACTTCTGTAAGAAAAATAAATTATTGGAAGAATTGCAGTTTTCAGACTTTTTCCCCCCTCCTCTTTTAAGAAAAATCAAAATTCTTCAGCTGTATTTTGAAAGATCCAGGATTTTCGCTAAGGTCAATTTGATTAAGTCCATAGACCTTCAAGCCAGACCATCGTTGCCACAGTTCTAAAAGCAGACATCCTCTGAAGTAATTCAACCAAGGTAGGACAGAAAGCCCAGGTGTCCTTCAGCTGCCTGCAGTAAGTGTATATATGCAAAATACAGTATAAAACAGCACAAGAGAAAGGGTACACTACCCTAAGTAAAAGGCACTCAAAGACAAAAGAAGTGCTATCACTAAATACATCTTGCATTTAATTACAAATGGAAAGGTGGGAAGCCTCTGGAGAATGCAGCCTAGAGAGTCAATCTGATTTTTTTTTTTTAATCTGCGCATCTGAGTGTATGGTGCGGATAAAGAACAGATGGTTATGCAGTAAGTGTATCAGCCTGCCTCTAGCACAGCAGCTGCAGCATCAGTATTTATCCTACCTGCTCCTTTTAAGTTATTAAACTCCTCAGTTCCCACAGGACATGCAATAAGTTGTTTTTTTTAAAGCACTTGCCCTGTCTTTGCTCATCCCGCCATCCCCGGTGCGGGGCCGGGCCGGGCCGGGCCGTTCCCCCCGGCTCCGGTTCTGGCCCCGGCCCCGGCTGCGGCTCCTCCTCCCGGGCCGGCCCCGCGGCTCCCCCGCTCCGGCTCGCTCCGCCGCGGGCGCTGCAGGTCTCCGCCGCTGCCGGCCGATGCCCGGGCCTCGCTGGTCAAGTGGTCCTAAACATTTCACAATTATGCTAGAGAACTGTTGAACTGTTAAGAACCACTGCACCAAGGAGGCTGAGGGTCCGCGGGGAGCGCAGCGGGGCGGGGGCGCGCTCCCCGCCCGCTCCTGCCCCGGGCTTGGCTCTTCCTTTCGCCGCGGCGGACCTGGGGATGAGACAGAACACACGGGACTGGCGGGCGGGCGGCGACAGCACCCGGGGACAGCGCCCGGCCCGGCCCGGCCCCGCACGCCCGCCCGCACTCCTCGCTCAGCGCCGCCACTTACTGCTGGCCACCGTCCCGCGAGCATCCCCGGCCTTGCGCTGGGGCTGGGAGAGCTTGACGGCAACACGCTCTCGTTATAAAGTGGAAAGAAAAACAACAACAAAAAAAACCCCAAAACAACCAACCAAAAAAAAAAAGTTTAGAAAGAACGAACTAAACAAAACCAGCCATTCTCCTGAGGGGCCGCAGCTCGGCGGCAGCCCGGGCCGGGCGCCCGCGGCCGCTCCCGCCAGCCGTGTGCCGCGGCCGCCCCTCTGCCGCGCCTGGCCGCGCGGGGCCCTTTTATAGCCGCGCGGTACCTCGCGGTGATGAGCCGTCCCCTGCGCGGCGGCCAGGAATGCTGCCCTCGCCCCTCACACGACCAGTTTTTCCAGGCTGCCTTCGCACTGACGGGGCGGTTTTGTTTCCAGCCATCATCTGGGGCGGCCGAACGTCAGCAGGTAGAGAAGGACAAACCTGTTCCGAGGCGGCGCGTTTCCTCCCTCCCTCTCTCCTCCCGCCGCCCTCCTGCCCTCCGCCCTGCCACCGGGGGAAACTGCTCGACAGGTTTCGCCGAAGCTGGAGGTGGCTCCGGGGGTGAGTAAGAGACTCCACCCTGCGCCCTCCCGACAGGCGCTGCCGCTGACGGGCCGCCTGCCCTCGCACCCTTGCCGGCCCCCCTCGGCTGGCTGGCAGCCCTGAAAAAACAAAACAACAAAACAAAACAAAAAAGCCTTAAACCGGCACGTCACGTTCTGCGGGGGATTTCGCCGCCCGGCCTGGCCCGGGATCCGTGCTTGCGGCGTCGCGCCTGGCGAGCGTGGCCGCTGCCGCCCGGCCGGCTCCCCGCAGGCCTGAGGCCGCGCTCCTGCCTGCCCTCCGCGGCGTTCCGAGCCGGCTTTCTGCTCCTTCCCCACCGCCAAATACTCTCTGAGACGGGAAGGGAACCTATAAAAGCCCTCTGGTACCCATGAGTGAGCTGGTAGCGTTGCTGTGTGGTGTTCAGCGCTCCTGAAGGGTAGCACAGGTACCTATTTCTGATCTGGAATGTTCATTGTCAGATTGGCTGTGTTGAGTGTAGTTTCAGGGAGTATTTTGTAAATGACACGAGAAACCACCTGCTGTGCATGGGTGACTGGGTTTGCCCTGTTTTCCCCCAGTATCCCACAGAACTGCTGCTGTTTCCTCAGGTGCCTTGAGGAGCCACCACTGGGGAACACCAGACCTTTCCAGAGGTCACTTTCTGCTCCTAAATGTTCCTGACCTTGGTTTCAGACAGTTAGGAATGAGAAGCCAGAATTGAAAAACGTGAAGAAGGTTCTGATGTTCAGAAGTGTTGGACAGCCAGCAGGGAGGGAGGACACCCTGAACTTTGACAGGCTAGCGATGAAATCCAATGCACAAAGGTTTCCGAGCTGTGTTGTTTGGGCGAACTGCAAGGTCCTCACGCCCTGTAACCTTGAGGTGGGGATTATGGTAACCGCACAGTTGGCTTCCCCATGGTGGCAGTGGGGATGCTGGTTGCTGGTGGTGCCAGGCTGCCTGCACTGCCTGACCACATGCTGCTCTCTCCAGCCAGCCCAGGAGACACTGTTTCAAAAAGATGTGGATGGTAAACCTTGCTCTGCCAGTGACTCAGCCTCCGGCCTCAGCCAAGTCGCTTTACCACACCTTGAGAGGGAGATAATGCCTACCTACCTCATCTTATGAGGCTTCACTAATGTTTATATAGTGCTTTGAATGTTTAAAGAACTGAGTGCTGTTTATGCATTTTGGTGCTCCAGATCCTGTGATCTTTGGCCCTTTAAAAATACATAGGAGACTCCAGCGGTCCCAGAGGAAATGCCCATACAGGAGGCATCCCAGAGCAGCAGAGCAGGGAGAAGGCCTTTGTGGCTGTGCACAGCTTGTGTGAACGTGGTGCTGCACCAGAAGCTGGAGTGCTGGAACCAGAACAGGTTGTTCTAGGAGCCTATGCAAACCTCATGCTGAGGAAGCTCCCTGGATCTAGGCTGGAGGCGTTTCAGTCTGCTTTGGTAAAGCCAACTCCTGCTCTTCTGCTCTGGCCTCTCACACTCAAACCCAGGGCTTAATTTTGTGCCTTCTTCCACATAGCCCAAGCCATAGCGGGTTTCTGGACCTTCTCTTTCTCCCCAGAGGATATTTGCTTGCCTTGGATAGAGGAGAGTGCACTATCTGTGAGTTCACTCAAAGGACACCCCTGTCCTTGGCATCCATGGAAATCTGTGGAAGCAAGACTGCCATTTACACCCTGTTAGAAGAGGCATTTGTGCAATGACACAGTGTTCTAGGTCGTCCACTCCTGCCAGTGATGTGTACAGCATGTTCAGCATGACTGCATGGCCTGTATTTTATGTATAATCCTTCACAGAGTGCACTGGAGACTCTCACCTCCCTCTGACAAACACAAACTCACACCCACACCCACGATACCACCCAGCTAAATAATAACCTGGCTGTCCATACTGACTTGGTTCAAGAGTCCTTTCCAGCCAAACCAGTCAGAACCTGCTCCTGCACTGGTGAGGTACATAACCCCCAGGATCTCATTGCTGTTCTGGTCCTGGGTCAGACACACATGGCAGATGGCCCCTAAAGGACTCTGAGCAATAAGGGGGGACCTGTCGGAGGCAGCCAGGGTTCTCTTAGGTACCAGAACCTGTATGGTCTTTAGGCAGGATGACATCTCCTGCTTTCAACTTCTTTTTAATAAGTGTCAGTGGTTTTACAGTGAATGGGTAAACATACGTTTCATTTAATTATATAAGCATTTAGCAGGTTCTGTTTCTCACCCATATACTCTCAGTTATGGAAGTAAGAAAGTTAACGTCCTGCTTCCTCCCTTCACTAGGTAGAGTCTCAGAGAACAGGCTGAAGGCTTTGAAAGGTAGAAGAGTAGAGGTACCTGAAAGTGGAAATGACAGGCAGCACTAGCCAAGGGATGAGCAATGTGTTGTTCTTCATCTGTGAAAGTATGAAAGGTGATTGAAGCATTAAAATAATAGAATCAGTTCTGAAATTAGATAGGGGGAAAATGAGGAGTATTAGAAGGAATAGTAATTAGTCCCTTGTTTCTACTAATGTTTAAACTAAGTATTGTTTATATCAGTGGGACTGCTATGAAAAGGACTGTGGTACCACACTGGATGCTGAGAGCTCTCTGACTGCACCAACACTCCTGAAACCTGGAGGAGCAGCACACTACTGTGGAACATGATGGCTTAAGCCCCTTGGACAGCAGGCAGTTTTCTTGGATAGGGAAAGCAAATACCAGTCACCTTAGAGTGTAAAAGAAAGAGGGCAGCACAAAAGGAGACATAACGCCAGGGGTGGTTGCAGAAGACAAAGAGCTGGTCTGGGAGGAAGTGAAGATGAAGGGTAAGCTTGTGGGAGGACATAAAAGGCTGTGCTGTTTGCATGGCAGAATATGGAAGATCATTAATGCTTGGTAGTGAGAGGAGGATTATATTTTAGGGAGGTTCTGCTTTGAAAAAATGAAGTTATGAAAAAATGACTGGAAGGTGCTACCATTATTGCCAGTCAATATCCCCACACTCCTTTGACAAAAGCTCCCAATACTTCCTGCTAGTTCCTTATTCCACAGGTAACATTATGGAAGGGCATAGAACAACCCAAAGTACTATTCTTTGTATGAAATATTTTATCTGACAATTCTGGACTTAAATCCAGCACTAAAACTAAGCATGGACATGGAGCTTACCATGTCTCTGCTTATTGTTTACGTTCCTCATCATTTCCCCATCAATTTCCTACTTTTACTCATTAATGCTCACCTAAAATTAGACTGGAAGTTTCTTTAAGAGAGACCAGAATCTGTCATGTCCTGGAAAGTACTTTTAATATTTTTGGGTCTGGTAAACAGAGAAAAAAAAAATCTCTGCAAGTGGATTTTCTCCCACCCTGGGAAATCAGCATTCCATATGTTCATAGCAAACAGTGATGGGGCAACTTCATGTTTGCTTTAGTTGGCTTAAACTCATTTGTCAATACAGCAGCCCACTATGTGTCACATGTGAGTATAATAATAGGTTGATACTAACTTGATTTGCAGTAATAAACACCCTGAGAGATGGCCTAATGCCTCCTCATATAAATAGGAAGCCTTTTGAGATTACTGCCTAAATAACATCAAGTGATTTACAGATAAATAGATGAGGTGGGATATTTTTCCAACCAAGAACTTTTAGAAAGATTGTAGCTTTGCAATTCAGTAGATAGATTAGTAAAGAAGTGCTAGAAATGAAAATATGGCTAGCATGTTCTTACAAAGCCAAGAATTCACATTTTATTGGAAATGCCACTATTGTGTGTATAATATTTTGATTAAATACAAAGTTATCAATTTAGCAAGAGAGAGATTTGTATCTCAAATGCTTCATCCAAGCATGCAGTTCAATGTCCCTGAGCACTACAGAAGTTACATACCAATTTAATGTGTAATACTGCTTTTCACCATTTTCCTTGTTCTGACTTAACATCTTGTTCATTCCAGAAGCTAACTGTGTAAATTACATTATACAAATAAATGTAGTTTTTCCCTTTTTGGGAGAATTTTTCAAGTCAATCTCTGTCTGTATTCAGTGGCACAATAGCAAGCAGCAGATTACAAATTTTCTGGTTTCTATTTCAAATTTCCAGTTTCATTGTTAAACACGTCAGTTCTTCTAATAACAAGTCTAGAACAAGGAGCCCTCAAGGCTTTGCACACTTCCAGGCTGGTTCAGTGGGTACAATTTCCCGTGCTTCAGCAGGAAAAAGAAGAATATTTGAAAAGCAATGGTTGTGCTGCAGAGATAGTGTGTGAGCTGTCAAGCAAATG